CTCTCATGGCATCTCATGTTGCCGTCTGCTCTCATGCTCTCATGGCATCTCATGTTGTCGTCTGCTCTCATGCTCTCATGGCATCTCATGTTGTCGTCTGCTCTCATGGCATCTCATGTTGTCGTCTGCTCTCACGCTCTCATGGCATCTCATGTTGTCGTCTGCTCTCATGCTCTCATGGCATCTCATGTTGTCGTCTGCTCTCATGCTCTCATGGCATCTCATGTTGTCGTCTGCTCTCATGCTCTCATGACATCTCGTGTTGTCGTCTGCTCTAGGTGACTGCGGTCCGTACGTCGTCGTGCCGATCTCACTCGCGTCGGCGATGTCTTCCTCCGGCAAGCCACAGAGTCCAACGAAAGCCCCGCTTCCACCGCCGCCGCCGGTGAACCGACCGAAGGTGGGAGGTTCCCTTGCGCTGTTCTTCCGCAAGGTGAGTTCGAGAACACCGACAACATCGCCTCATGCCTTCAGAGCGGCAATATACTTGAAAGGATGCGCTTCCGTTCGCTCCGGGCCGGTCTGTTTTCTTGGGGGGAGTAGAGTGAGTGCAGGTGGTAGACTCGAAGGGCAATGTCAGGCATGAAAATTTTCCGCGTTTCTGCGGATTTCCGCTTTTTCCCCGATCCCAGAATTTTTCCCGCATTTTCCGTTTTTTCCCGAGTTTACGTGCAGCATTCGTATGTACTGTACAGGCGCACGGTTTATCGATCGTCTACTGCGGCTGGCTGTGGCTGGCCACCTTATTGTTTTTGCCGAAGAGTAGACTGGTATCCGGCCTCACGCTCTGCTAGACAATGTACACGCTCTGCGACAAACAGTGCGGCCGCGAACCAGTCTAGCCAGAGATGACCTTTCAGTGTACCCTGGGTTGCACGCTGGTTCTTGCGTGTGGACGTACATGTATGTATTCTAACCCCCCCCACCCCGCCTCGGGGGTTTTCAGTGTTTTTCTTTACCGGTAATTTTCATGCCTGCAATATCCTCTGCCAGAAAAGTGTTTGCTTAGGCCACTTTTTTTCTTTTTTTTTGGTTTACAGAATTTTTGTTGTTGACTCGGTAGGGGTAAAATTGTCGTTTTGTCAGATCAAACAAGTCAAAATACAGTGATACTGTTATACATGATATTAAAGTATTTTAAGAAAACTAAATAAAAACAAAACTCAACTTGTAATTATTTTTACTTTTATTATAAACTGTTTGTTTATAAAATGTTTTTGTTTTTTGCATTTACATTTTTTTATTCATATTTCTTAGAGAAAAGGTCAGCAGGAATAAAAAAATACAGATTTTCAAATTTTTTTTTTTGAAAATTTTGGTCGGCTGATCTGTAAACCACCAAACTAAAAAAATCTTGCCTTAGCGGTGAGAAGTAATCGCTACCCTAGCACTACCATGTTCGCGTCACAGGTGTGCTACCTGATAATATACCTATCACAGGTAAATCACCTGGCGAGCGTAATTAATTAACAGGTGAGAACATATATATTCCTCGCAGGTGTACTACCTGGCGAGCGTGTGTCTGCTGGTAAACAGTAATTAACAGGTGAATGCTTACCTGTCTCCAGGTGTACTACCTGGCCAGCGTGCGTCTGCGGGACCTGTGCGAGAAGCTGGAGCTGGCCGAGGACCTGCGCATGAAGTCGTGGACGTGTCTCGAGTACGCGCTCACGCAGTACGTAGAGCTGATGCGAGATCGCCACCTAGACCAGATCGTCATGTGCTGCGTTTACGTCATGGCCAAGGTGCGTGCGTCGTTAGCGCTGTCGTTTGGGTGTCAGTAGGTAGAAAGGTAGATAGGTAGATCGTCATGGCCAAGGTGCGTGCGTCGTTAGCGCTGTCGTTTGGGTGTCAGTAGGTAGAAAGGTAGATAGGTAGATCGTCATGGTCAAGGTGCGTGCGTCGTTAGCGCTGTCGTTTGGGTGTCAGTAGGTAGAAAGGTAGATAGGTAGATCGTCATGGTCAAGGTGCGTGCGTCGTTAGCGCTGTCGTTTGGGTGTCAGTAGGTAGAAAGGTAGATAGGTAGATCGTCATGGTCAAGGTGCGTGCGTCGTTAGCGCTGTCGTTTGGGTGTCAGTAGGTAGAATGGTAGATAGGTAGATCGTCA